CTCCCTAAGTCTGTCAGAAAGAGATCTGCCAGTTTCTCCAAAGTATTGAAGAGGACAGGAGGAGCAAGAAATAGAGTAGACACCAATAACATCTGTAGAGGGAGGAGAGGTATGAACGAGATTAGTGCGAATAGTGTTAGTCTGGCGGAAAGTAAGCTTGATGTCTAAGGGACGGAGATAATTGTTGAGATTAGAAAGACCGGAAATGTAGGGAAGGCAGAGGACAGAAGAGTTCCCAGGAGTAGAGAGTTTGGGAGAGAAGAAATTACGTTTAGCACGTGAGAGGGCAAAGTCTATAAAATGGGAAGGGTAGCCAAGACGGGAAAACGAATTATAAAGAGTGGAAATTTCTGCTATGCCATATGCAGAAATTAAGAGACAACTGCAGTGGCAAGGAACAGCTGAGCAAGAAAGACAGTCCACTGAGCACAGGCGCTTCAGCAAGGGCAGGGATTGAATGCAGGAACGTTTCAATGGAAGGAGCTAAAACACCTCAGAGGATACAAAGGTCGACACAGTGGGAGGAGGTAAGGGAGGGGTCAGTGTTTGTCTATGGGCTCCAAGAAGTCGAAGGGGAAACCCAAGATGAAAGAAAACAGGGGGAGAAGAAAGCGATTGAAGGTATCATCAAAGCAATAGGTGAGGGCGACATGACCCAGATGACAAATTTTCGGAAAATTGGGTGGTTGACGAGTGGAAGGAAACGGACTGTCAAAGTAATTTTCAAGGCAGAATCGGCTAGATACAGGATCCTGCAGGAGAAAGCACGACTGAGGGACAAACAAGAGTACTGGAGAGTATACCTTGATCGTGACAAAACACAAGAAGAAAGGACGATACCGAGAGAGAGGGTACAAAGACGAAAGGAGGAATGAGATGCAATGATGAAGTTAAGCAGAACCCAGACTCAGGTGAATGGGCATACATAATAGGCGAGTACACACAAATACACACGCACAAATACATACACACACACACACACACACGCACAAACGCACACACACACACACACACACACACACACACACACACACACACACACACACACACACACACACACACACACACACGCACACGCACACACACTGGTACTGGAAAACCTCATGCATCAACACATCACGGACATTACCAGAGAGAGAGAGAGAGAGGAGGATGAACCAGCAAGACTCGACATTGTGTTTACCCTGAGTAGCTCAGACATTGATGACATCACATATGAGAGGCCCCTAGGAACTAGTGACCACGTAGTCCTGTGCTTTGATTACATAGTAGAGTTACAGGTGGAGAGGGTAACAGGAGTCGAATGGGAAAAGCCAAACTATAAAAGGGGAGACTACACAGGTATGAGGAACTTCCTGCAGGAGGTACAGTGGGACAGAGAAATGGTAGGAAAAATAGTTAATGAAAAGATGGAGTATGTAACAACAAAATGCAAGGAGACAGAGGAAAGGATTGTTCCCAAGGGCAACAGAAACAATGGGAAGACCAAAGCGAGTCCTTGGTTTACCCAAAGGTGCAGGGAGGCAAAAACTAAGTGCATTATAGAATGAAAGAGGTATAGAAGGCAAAGGAACCAGGAAAACAAGGAGATCAGTCAAAGAGCCAGAAACGAATATGCACAGATAAGGAGGGAGGCCCAGCGACAGTACGAAAATAACATAGCATCGAAAGGCAAGTCTGACCCGAAACTGCTGTATAGCCACATTAGGAGAAAGACAACAGTCAAGACCAGGTGATCAGGCTGAGGAAAGAAGGTGGGGAACTCACAAGAAACGATCAAGAGGTATGTGAGGAGCTCAACAGGAGATTTAAGGAAGTATTCACAGTGGAGACAGGAAGGACTCTGGGAAGACAGGACAGAGGGGGACACCAACAGGAAACAGACCAACAGGTGCTGGACGATATGCACACAACTGAGGAGGAGGTGAAGAAGGTGCTAAGTGACCTTGATGCCTCAAAGGCAATGGGACCGGACATCTCCCCGTGGGTCCTCGGGGAGGGAGCAAATATACTGTGTGTGCCATTAACCACAATCTTCAACACATCCCTTGAAACTGGGCAACTACCTGAGGTATGGAAGACCACAATTGTAGTTCCCATTTTTAAAAATGGAGACAGAAAAGAGGCACTAAATTACAGACCAGTGTCACTGCCATGTATAGTATGCAGAGTCATGGAGAAGATTATCAGGAGGAGAGTGGTGAAGCACCTGGAACGGAACAAGATTATAAACGATAACGAGCACGGATTCATGGAAGGCAAATCCTGTGTCACAAACCTTCTGGAGTTCTATCACAAAGTTACAGAAGTGCGACACGAGAGAGATGGGTGGGCTGATTGCGTTTTCTTGGACTGCAAGAAGGCCTTCGACACAGTTCCTAACAAGCGACTAGTGCAGAAACTAGAGGATCAGGCGCATATATCAGGAAGGGCACTACAATGGATCAGAGAATATCTGACAGGGAGGCAACAACGAGTCATGGTACGGGATGAGGTATCACAGTGGGCACCTGTGACGAGCGGGGTCCCACAGGGGTCGGTCCTAGGACCAGTGCTATTTCTGGTATATGTGAATGACATGATGGAAGGGATAGACTCAGAGATGTCCCTGTTCGCAGATGCTGTGAATTTAATGAGGAGAATTAAATCAGATGAGGACCAGGCAGGACTTCAAAGAGACCTGGACAGGCTGGACACCTGGTCCAGCAACTGGCTTCTTGAATGCAACCCTGCCAAGTGCAAAGTCATAAAGATAGGAGAAGGGCAAAGAAGACCGCAGACAGAGTATAGACTAGGTGGCCAAGGACTGCAAACCTCACTCAAGGAGAAAGATCTTGGGGTGAGTATAACACTGAGCACGTCTCCAGAGGCACACATCAAACACATAACTGCTGCAGCATACGGGGGCCTGGCAAACCTGAGAATAGCGTTCCGATACCTAAGTAAGGAATCGTTCAAGACACTGTACGCTGTGTACATCAGGCCCATACTGGAATATGCAGCGCCAGTTTGGAACCCACACCTGGTCAAACGCGTCAAGAAATTAGAGATTTACTGTGTAAGGAATCTTCCGTATGAAGATAGGCTTAAAGCCTTAAATTTCCACTCTCTGGAGAGACGTAGAATGAGAGGAGATATCACTGAGGTGTATAAGTGGATGACGGGCATAAACAAAGGAGATATTAATAAGGTATTGAGGGTGTCGAACCAGGTAAGAATCAGAAATAATGGATATAAGTTGGATAAATTTAGATTTAGAAAGGACATAGGTAAGTACTGGTTTTCTAACAGAGTTGTGGATGTGTGGAACAGTCTTCCCAGTTGGGTGATAGAGGCTAGGACCTTGGGTAGCTTTAAGAAGAGATTGGGCAAATATATGAGTGGGAGGGGCTGGGTTTGATTGGTGTCATTGGGTACGGGAGTTAATTCTTGGGTAACTTTGGGTAGAGGTCGTTTTGCTAAGGACCTGCCTTGTGTGGGTCAGTAGGCCTTCTGCAGTGTTCCTTCATTCTTATGTTCTTAACAAGACTAGTTCCAGAGCTCAGAGGTATGTTCTACGAGGAAAGGTTGAGGGAAATCGGACTGACGACACTGGAGGACAGGCGGGTCAGGGGAGACATGATAACGACATACAAAATAATGCGTGGAATAGATAAGGTAGACAGAGACAGGTTGTTCCAGAGAGGGGACACAGAAACAAGGGGTCACAATTGGAAGCTGAAGACTCAGACGAGTCACAGGGACGTTAGGAAGTATTTCTTCAGTCATAGAGTCGTCAGTAAGTGGAATAGCCCAACAAGTGATGTAGTGGAGGCAGGAACCATACATAGCTTTAAGACGAGGTATGACAAAGCTCTGGAAGCACAGAGAGAGAGAGAGAGAGGATCTAGTAGCGATCAGTGAAGAGGCGGGGCCAGGAGCCGAGTCTTGTCCCCTGGAACCACAATTAGGCGAGTACACACTCACTCCCCTACACTCTCCCCCACCTCTCTTTCCTCATCCTCCTCTTCCTGTTGTCTCCCCTCTTTCCCTCTTCCCCCTTTATTTCTCCCTCTCCTATTGTCTCGCCCCATTTGCTTCTCCCTCCCCTCTCTCTCCCCTTAATCCCCCTCTCCCCATCTCTCTCCCCCTTCTTTACTGTTTCCCACTTCCCTTCTCTGTTTCCCTCACACACACACAGTCCCACAAACACAAACACACACTCATACACACATGAAACACACAAACAAGGGGTCACAGTCGGAAGCTGAAGACTCAGATGAGTCAGAGAGATGTGTCTTTCGTCATAGATTTTTCAGGAAGTGGAATAGTCTGGACAGTGACGTAGTGGAGGCAGGAACTAGACATAGTTTTAAGACGAGGTATGTATAATGCTCATGGAGCACGGAAAGAGAGGACATAGTAGCGATCAGTGAAGTGGCGGGGCCAGGAGCTATGAATCGACCCCTGCAACCACAACTGAGTACAAATGCCTTTGTCAAGCAGTAACTAATATAACAAGCCAAGTAATGACTACTGACATTATCATCTCAAGTAATTTAAGTTATTTAACATTTAAACTTGTGTTATCTAATAAATATTGTGCAATAAAAATTCCCTTACATACTGAACACAGTCATAATTAAAAAAAAAATATGCTAGTGTCGGAACCGATCGATAATTGGGTATCGGAATTGGTATCAAAATCGACCACAATTTTTATCAGAAACGAACCATACCACGGGCGGGGTTTGATCAGAGAGTCTCAAAACTCCAGACCGTCACGTTAGCCACTGGTCAATGTTATTGAATCTTACTGAATCTCATTGAAGCCAGCTGGCCTAGTGGGTAACGCGACTGTCTGGAGTTTTGAGACTGATCGCGGGTTCAAACCTCGCCCGTGGTAAGTTTGTTTGCAATCGTGTCATTACGATTTCGTGAGTCATTTATCAGTATTAGCCAAAATTTTGTTATCGTTCCAATCCTATTTACTATTAATATTATTATTGTGTCTCCTTCAGACGGCTATTGTATTCCGGCCGGCACAACAGTGTCAATAGTTATTTACAAAATTCACCGCGACCCAACACAGTTCCCTGATCCAGAGGTGTTTGACCCTGACCGCTTCCTCCCAGAGAACGTCAACAAGCGTCATCGCTTCTCCTACATTCCTTTCAGCGCTGGAATCAGGAACTGCATTGGTAAGGCTAAAAGCTGAACTTCAGTTACTAACTGAGGAGTCAGGAGTTTGAATTCAAGGCAGAGCGAGACGTATGTGCTAGTCTACTTTAACACCTAATTCCCTTGATCACTCAGCACTAATTATGTACCAGGATATTAGCAGGATATTGTGGGTCACATATTGGGGTTGATATTTTACCTTAGCTGTCTGTGTTTTCAGACGAAATAAAGTAACAGGTGACAGTCAACCGAGTATAAAATATTGTTCATATCAGTATAAAGTATCGTTTTGCTCTTAGCAAACACTGAATTTAACTGAATACATATATAAATAGGGGCAGAAAATCATTGTGATAGTGTCTTTGTATATAATGCTAATAATTTATTGCAAATAATACTAATTTTCTTAATACATGTGTATATTACGTCGAACAATAAGTCCAACTTGCCGAATACGTCGAACTTCCTTAAAAATTCGACTTTTTCCATAAGTTTTTTTTTTTTTTTTTTTTACATATTAATAGATATATTATTCGCTGAAAATAATGTAAAATAAAAATTTTTGGATTAAACCTAACGTAGAAATTTCATCTAAAATTAAGCTAATGCAGTTTTTCAGGTAAATTTTAAAATATATATCATAGGTCAGATTAAATCAATATGTATAATTTCTAGTTCTAATTAGAATGATTTTTCCAGATTTACAGCATAAGCAAATTATTATTCTGTTAATTCGAGAGAAAAAAATCCTTGCTTTTTAGGCCTAACTCGCCAGTTTGTCTTATTCGGCAAGACATTTGTACATTTGTCGTAAAAAGTTCCTGGACAATCTCTCCTGGACAGAACTAATATCAGGCAACTACACACAGTAAACACAGGAGTAAGACCATTTTCATAAATCAATTAAGGAAGCTTGTAACAGTGATGGTGACTGGTTAACAATATTAACTGCCGGTACTTTGTGATGGTGACTGCTTAACAATGTTAACTGCCGGTACTTTCTGTGATGGTGACTGGTTAACAATATTAACTGCCGGTACTTTCTGTGATGGTGACTGGTTAACAATATTAACTGCCGGTACTTTCTGTGATGGTGACTGCTTAACAATGTTAACTGCCGGTACTCTCTGTGATTGTGACTGGTTAACAATATTAACTGCCGGTACTTTCTGTGATGGTGACTGGTTAACAATATTAACTGCCGGTACTTTCTGTGATGGTGACTGGTTAACAATATTAACTGCCAGTACTTTCTGTGATGGTGACTGGTTAACAATGTTAACTGCCAGTACTTTCTGTGATGGTGACTGGTTAACAATATTAACTGCCGGTACTTTCTGTGATGGTGACTGGTTAACAATATTAACTGCCGGTACTTTCTGTGATGGTGACTGGTTAACAATATTAACTGCCGGTACTTTCTGTGATGGTGACTGCTTAACAATATTAACTGCCGGTACTTTCTGTGATGGTGACTGGTTAACAATATTAACTGCCAGTACTTTCTGTGATGGTGACTGGTTAACAATATTAACTGCCGGTACTTTCTGTGATGGTGACTGCTTAACAATATTAACTGAAGGTACTTTCTGTGATGGTGACTGGTTAACAATATTAACTGCCGGTACTTTCTGTGATGGTGACTGCTTAACAATATTAACTGCCGGTACTTTCTGTGATGGTGACTGGTTAACAATATTAACTGCCGGTACTTTCTGTGATGGTGACTGGTTAACATATTAACTGCCGGTACTTTCTGTGATGGTGACTGGTTAACAATATTAACTGCCGGTACTTTCTGTGATGGTGACTGGTTAACAATATTAACTGCCGGTACTTTCTGTGATGGTGACTGCTTAACAATATTAACTGCCGGTACTTTCTGTGATGGTGACTGGTTAACAATATTAACTGCCGGTACTTTCTGTGATGGTGACTGCTTAACAATATTAACTGCCGGTACTTTCTGTGATGGTGATTGGAAACAATATTAACTGCCGGTACTTTCTGTGGTGGTGACTGGTTAACAATATTAACTGCCGGTACTTTCTGTGATGGTGACTGCTTAACAATATTAACTGCCGGTACTTTCTGTGATGGTGACTGGTTAACAATATTAACATGCCGGTACTTTCTGTGATGGTGACTGCTTAACAATATTAACTGCCGGTACTTTCTGTGATGGTGACTGGTTAACAATATTAACTGCCGGTACTTTCTGTGATGGTGACTGGTTAACAATATTAACTGCCGGTACTTTCTGTGATGGTGACTGGTTAACAATATTAACTGCCGGTACTTTCTGTGATGGTGACTGGTTAACAATATTAACTGCCGGTACTTTCTGTGATGGTGACTGCATAACAATATTAACTGCCGGTACTTTCTGTGATGGTGACTGGTTAACAATATTAACTGCCGGTACTTTCTGTGATGGTGACTGCTTAACAATATTAACTGCCGGTACTTTCTGTGATGGTGATTGGTTAACAATATTAACTGCCGGTACTTTCTGTGATGGTGACTGCTTAACAATATTAACTGCCGGTACTTTCTGTGATGGTGACTGCTTAACAATATTAACTGCCGGTACTTTCTGTGATGGTGACTGGTTAACAATATTAACTGCCGGTACTTTCTGTGATGGTGACTGCTTAACAATATTAACTGCCGGTACTTTCTGTGATGGTGACTGCTTAACAATATTAACTGCCGGTACTTTCTGTGATGGTGACTGCTTAACAATATTAACTGCCGGTACTTTCTGTGATGGTGACTGCTTAACAATATTAACTGCCGGTACTTTCTGTGATGGTGACTGCTTAACAATATTAACTGCCGGTACTTTCTGTGATGGTGACTGCTTAACAATATTAACTGCCGGTACTTTCTGTGATGGTGACTGCTTAACAATATTAACTGCCAGTACTTTCTGTGATGGTGACTGCTTAACAATATTAACTGCCGGTACTTTCTGTGATGGTGACTGCTTAACAATATTAACTGCCGGTACTTTCTGTGATGGTGACTGCTTAACAATATTAACTGCCGGTACTTTCTGTGATGGTGACTGCTTAACAATATTAACTGCCGGTACTTTCTGTGATGGTGACTGCTTAACAATATTAACTGCCGGTACTTTCTGTGATGGTGACTGCTTAACAATATTAACTGCCGGTACTTTCTGTGATGGTGACTGCTTAACAATATTAACTGCCGGTACTTTCTGTGATGGTGACTGCTTAACAATATTAACTGCCGGTACTTTCTGTGATGGTGACTGCTTAACAATATTAACTGCCGGTACTTTCTGTGATGGTGACTGTTAACAATATTAACTGCCGGTACTTTCTGTGATGGTGACTGCTTAACAATATTAACTGCCGGTACTTTCTGTGATGGTGACTGGTTAACAATATTAACTGCCGGTATTTTCTGTGATGGTGACTGGTTAACAATATTAACTGCCGGTACTTTCTGTGATGGTGACTGGTTAACAATATTAACTGCCGGTACTTTCTGTGATGGTGACTGCTTAACAATATTAACTGCCGGTACTTTCTGTGATGGTGACTGCTTAACAATATTAACTGCCGGTACTTTCTGTGATGGTGACTGCTTAACAATATTAACTGCCGGTATTTTCTGTGATGGTGACTGGTTAACAATATTAACTGCCGGTACTTTCTGTGATGGTGACTGGTTAACAATATTAACTGCCGGTACTTTCTGTGATGGTGACTGCTTAACAATGTTAACTGCCGGTACTTTCTGTGATGGTGACTGCTTAACAATATTAACTGCCGGTATTTTCTGTGATGGTGACTGCTTAACAATATTAACTGCCAGTACTTTCTGTGATGGTGACTGCTTAACAATATTAACTGCCGGTACTTTCTGTGATGGTGACTGCTTAACAATATTAACTGCCAGTACTTTCTGTGATGGTGACTGCTTAACAATATTAACTGCCGGTACTTTCTGTGATGGTGACTGCTTAACAATATTAACTGCCGGTACTTTCTGTACATCTATATAGAAATCAATTTATGAATATATACATGAATTTACTCCAGTTCGGTTATTAAATCCAGTATTATAAAAACAAATAATTTACAAAGGTGACCTAATATATTGTAAGAGAAGTATTATGATTGATAACAGGTCTGTAGTCATCGTACATCAGTCATATCTACTCAAGTAAACTAAACTTTGATGGACGAGATCAAGAAGTCTTTCAGAAAATTGTTAATTGACATAATATATAATTTAAAATAAGACTCCACTAACCAAGATGTTCTTTAATTAAACCAAATTGTGGTTTATTTTTTATGCTCATATTCAACACATAAATAATAGCATTCACTAGTTGCATACTCAGACTATATGAGCCTGGTCACAGACCGGGCAGCAGGGGCTTTGACCAAGGACCCCTCTCCAGGTGTACTCCAGGTGTATATTATTATTATTATTATATATACACAGATCCGTTGGCATGGCCGACGCGGCAGGTTGTGTAGTGGGCTAGCTGCGGGATTTTCAAGGATAGCTCCTGGTCAAAGAGGCTGACCAGGTCCCTACTTAACAGAACTCAGTGTGAATGCTTTGAGAAGATACCAGAGCAGCGAACGGACATCCCAGTGCATCGTTTCAGCGTAAATAGTTGAAGTGTTGTGCAGTTTTAAGAGGGTTTGGTGTTGTCAAGTCAGGACCAGTCAGCGCCTCCCCCCCCTCTCCGCTGGGGGGGAGGGGGAGGGCGTGTGTAGTAAACAGTGACCCTCTCATAACGCCTCACCCCTGCCCGTCTCCCCCGCCTCACCCACCCAACTCCCAGCGCCACCCCATCTGTAGAGGGTACTTCTCCCCTAACCCACGATGTCAGCGATGGCACTGCAGGGAGTGCCGGGCTCACAGGAACTTCCACTACAGGGACAGCATCGTGGAGTTCGACCGCGAGGCAGCTGCCAGGTGTGCCACAGGCAGTGTGTACTCAGTTCCTCAAGCTTCAACATCCGTGCACACGAGGGCCTGGGATCTTCAATCAACTTGGCGTCCACCAGGACGCTGACATGTCCCTAGGACAGCTCTCCATCGGGCTGCTAACGGAGTCACTGGCTTCTTGGACCTCTTGGGGAGGGTCGATGGTGCTCGTGCAAGCAGCAGATTCCTGGGCAACTTGCTGCTGTTTGCAATGGCTGTCTACCGAGGAGAGACAGGCACCTAGCAACATCTGTTGTTGGGGCATTGGATGAATTCCTTACTATGTTTGTTAACTGCTCATTACTCTGTAATTTGTCTATGATTGTAATCATGTCATAACGTGTTTATCATTCATTACCTTTGAAACTTGTCATGATTGTGACCAGCTCTACCTGGAGCTCATTACCTTTGTAAATTCTCATGATTAATGTGTTTATGATTCATTACCTTTGCAATTATTCATGAATGTGACCAGCTCAACCTGGAGCTCATTACCTTTGTAACTTGGTCATGATTATGACCAGATCTAGTTCATTACCTTTGTAATTTGCTCAGCTATCAAAACTTTGGAGTCCAGTCCCTGGACCAATTATGTACCTCTGTAATCTTTTGACTACCACCCACAGGATGGGTATGGGGTGCATAATAAACATATTAAACTAACTAACTATTATATATATATATATATATATATATAATATATATATATATATATATTATATATATATATATATATATATATATATATATATATATATATTTGTCGTGCCGAATATGTAAGACTGGTCAGTTAGCCAGAACTCATTAAAATTAGTCCATTCTAAAATTTTCTCTTATACGTTTAAAGATATATTTTTTTCATTATTGTTAATGTAAAAACTTTTAATTTTTCTCGAAAAGATCCTTAGAAAACTTACCTGACCTTATTATAACAAGAACAATTTATTTTAGCCTAAGCCAACTAAATATATTTTAGATTTGTTTACAGTAATTTAATACTAAACAAACACAGTGAACTATTTTTTTTCGTTAGATTCAGAATGATTTTGGCGAAATTATTGGATACAGCAAATTTTCGCTTGTCCTATATGGCAAGATAAGCGTTTCTATTTAAACCAAGATTGCAAGTTCTGCCTATTCGGCAAGACATATATATATATATATATATTATATATATATATATATATATATATATATTATATATATATATATATTATATATAGGGAGGTACCACCTCTGTAGCAGGACTGGGGACCCTCATCCTCAGAGAAGACAAACGTACCTCAGGGAAAACTCAAAGTTCTCCCCGGAGTTGTTTGAATATTTTCTTCTCCTACCACCCCATATATATTTTATATTCTATGTGAACATTTATTGATAAACAGAATACATGTGCAGAAAAAAACAAACATGAATACAATAGTACAATGTGTTAAAGATCATGAATTTCCTCCAGCTCCTCCGAAGCCAGACGCGAGCCAAGTATGCAGCAAGCATTTCCCCTCTGGATGCTGAGGCACTAGAACATGAAAGTGGCTGCCCTTGGGTCCCTGGTGGTGTCGATGAGTCTGGAACCCAATTCTTTGAGGAAACGTGTGGCATTTTTTCCCCATGATCCCAAGGTCTCTGATCCTACTGGGACAAATTGATACTGTTGGCTTATGTTCCTGTACTTGCTGATCTTTACTCCTCCCTGTGGTCAGCAGCTCCTCCCTGTCGCCCCACACTGTGATGGATATAGGTGTGGACACACAGGTATAGTCCCATGCTAAGAGCTTGCCATTCTTCCAAGGATAGATGGTGATCCCGTCGGAGCGGTTTGCTGGGTTGTGGGTATTGTTGGCTGCTAGTGATTGGGGCTCCCTCTCGGTTGGGCATCCAGCTATAGCAAGGGTTCTCTTTATGATGTCGTTGACCTCATTGTGTCTTGCATGCCAGCCCTTGGTTCTGGAACAGTTAAGACCATGTAGACCGTATTGGTCTGCTTGCGCTTCACTGCAAATACACATATATTCTTTGTGAATTGGGGCAGCAAGGCACAGAGCCACTGCAATACTGAGGGTCTTAGGGTCGAGTCGCGTTCCCATTGCCGATATGGGAAATGTTTGGAGGAATTCGCAGGAGTGATGTGCACTCACTGCCTGGAGACGGGCAGTCTCCCTATCTGATGTTGCAGCCCTGGGCATGTTGGCAAGCACCTTTTCAGCGACTGGGTCATCCCAGCTTGACTGTGAGCCAGTGCTGCACTAGGGTTTGGTGCTGGAGCAGCAAGAATGCCGGCCGTGGTTGAATGGCTCTACATGCTTGTATAGCCATTGAATCAAGTGTGTGAGTACTTGTGGTTGGGGATCTAATGCTAAAGTGGGTAAAAGTGTTGTGGAGGGAGTAGTATGTAAATTTGGGGCGCGAGGCGTAAATGAAAATGGGGAGCCTTTAATTGAGCTATGTGTAGAAAGAGGGTTGGTAATAAGTAATACATATTTTATGAAAAAGTGGATAAATAAGTATACAAGGTATGGTATAGCACGTAATGAAAGTAGTTGGTTAGATTATATATTGGTGGATAAAAAGTTGATGTGTAGGCTTCAGGATGTACATGTTTATTGAGGGGCAACTGATATATCGGATCATTATTTAGTTGTAGCTACAGTTAGAGTAAGAGGTAGATGGGACTAAAGGAAAATGGCAACAGTAAGAGAGAGGTGAAAGTTTATAAACTAAGGGAGGAGGAAGATAGGGCGAGATGTAAGCCGCTACTGGCAGAAAAGTGGGCTAGTGCAGGTATGAATAGTGGGGAGGGGTTGAAGAAGGATGGGATAGTATTAAAAATGCAGTATTAGAATGTGGGGCAGAAGTTTGTGGTTATAGGAGGGTGGGTGCAGGAGGAAAGAGGAGTGATTGGTGGAATGAAATAAATGGTGTGATAGAACAGAAAAAAAGGAAGCTTATGAGACTTTTTACAAAGCAGAAGTAATATAAGAAGAGCAGAGCATATGGAGAGTAAAGAAAAGGTGAAGAGAGTGGTGAGAGAGTGGAAATAAGAGCAAATGATTAAGTGGGAGAGGAACTGTTAAGAAATTTAGCAGAAAATAAGAAAAAAAAAATGGAGTGAGATAAACAAGTTAAAAAAAGGAAAGAATGGATTTGAGAGTTAAAAACAGAGTAGGGGAGTTAGTTGATGAGGAGATGGAGGTATTGGGTAGATGGCGAGAATAATTTGAGGAACTTTTAAATGTCGATGAAGATAGGGAGGCGGTAATTTCACGCACTGGCCAGAGAGGTATAACATCTTGCAGGAGGGAAGAAGAGTAGGATGTGAGTGTGGGGGAGGTACGTGAGGCATTACATAGAATGAAAGGGGGTAAAGCAGCTGGAACGGGATCATGACAGAAATGTTAAAAGCAGGGGGAGATATAGTGCTGGAGTGGTTGGTATTTTTGTATAATAAGTGTATGAAAGAGGGGAAGGTACCTAGGGATTGACAGAGGGAAGGGGACAAAAGAGATTGTAAAAATTATAAGGGAATAAGTTTTCTGAGTATATCAGGTAAAGTGTACGGCAGGGTTATTATTGAAAGAATTAGAGGTAAGACAAACAACAGGATTACAGATGAGCAAGGAGGCTTTAAAATAGTTAGGGGATGTGTTGATCAGGTGTTTGCATTGAAGTATATATGTGAACAGGATTTAGATAAATGTAAGGAAGTTTTCATTTCATATGCAAGTGTATGGAATAAGTAGTAGTTACTCAATGTTGTAAAGAGATTTTATGAGAATAGTGAGGCTCAAGTTAGGGTGAGTAGGGGAGAGGGAGATTACTTCTCAGTAAAAGTAGGTCTTAGACAGGGATGTGTAATGTGACCATGATTGTTTATCATAGATGGGGTTTTAAAAGAAGTAAATGCTATTGTGTCAGGGAGGGGAGTGGGATTAAAATATGGGGAATCAAATTCAAAATGGGAGTTGACACAGTTACTTTTTGCTGATTATACTATGCTTTAGGGGGGATTCTAAGAAAAGCTGCAAATGTTAGTGGACGAGTTTGGGAGGGTGTGTAAAGGTAGAAAGTTGAAAATGAATATAGGTAAGAGTAAGGTGGAGGAGGGCATCAATCGTGTTAGATTAAAAAAAATGGATATCACATTAGAGGGAGGGAGGGAGTATGGAAGAAGTGATTTTTTTTTCAGATTTCTGGAAAAAAGGGAAAAAGGTGAGTGATGCATTGAGATATATCTATGGAGACAAAAAACGTAAATCATAGAGGGAAAGAAGGGAATGTGCGAGAGTATAGCAGTACCAACACTCTTATATGGGTGTGAAGCTTGGGTTGTAAATGCTGCAGCGAGGAGGCGGCTGGAGGCAGTGGAGATGTCCTGTCTAAGGGCAATGTGTGGTGTAAATATTATGCACAGAATTCGTAGTGTGGAAATTAAGAGGAGGTGTGGAGTAGTGATGAATGGTTTTGAAAACCGACAAGTTGAAGACTGAGACACTTATGCAACATATGGGAATCTTTATTTAGGAAACTTTTCGCCACACAGTAGCTTCATCAGTCTAATACAAAGCAGAAAAATGTAAGAAGAGGAGAAGTTTGAGGTTATCAGTCCCTCAGCCTGGAGTCGATGTGTTCAGTCCATCAATCTTGTAGAATGTGGTGGAGTAACTAAAAGTATTAGTCAGAGGGCTGAAGAGGGTCAACGGTGGTTTGGTTATTTAGAGAGAATGGAACAAAGTAGAATGACTTGGAGAGCATATAAATCTGTTGGGGGAGGAAGGCAGGGCAGAGGTTGTACCCGAAAAGGTTGGGGGGAGGGGGTAAAGGAAGTTTTGTGGGCGAGGGGATTGGACTTCCAGCAAGTGTGCATGAGTGTGTTAGGAGTGAATGGAGACGAATGGTTTTTGGAACCTGGCGAGTTATTGGAGAGTGAGCAAGGTAATATTTTGTGAAGGGATTCAGGGAAACCAGTTAGCCGGGCTTGAGTCCTGGAAATTGGAAATACAATGCCTGCACTTTAAAGGAGGGGTTTAGGGTATTGGCAGTTTGGAGGGACGTCTAAACTCTCGTATCTGAACTCCTATGCAAGGTCAGTGATTATGTATGAGTGATGGTAAAAGTGTTGAATGATAATGAACGTTTTTCTTTCTTTTTGTTTTTTCTTTCTTTTTGGGTCACCCTGCCTCTGTGGGAGACGGCCGACGTATTTGGGGTGCCAGGTGTAAATGATAATGGGGAGCATTTGATTGAACTTTGTATAGAAAGGGGTTTGGTTATAGGTAACACATATTTTAAGAAAAAGAGGATAAAAAAGCATACAAGATATGATATAGGACTTAATAACAGTAGTTTGTTGGATTACGTATCGGTAGATAAAAGACTTTTGGTTAGACTTCAAGATATACATGTTTATAGAGGGGCCACAGATATGTAAGATCACTTTTAGTTGTAGCTACAGCGAGAGTAAAAGGTAGATGGGATATAGGGAAAATGGAAGCAGCAAGTAAGAGAGAAGTGAAGATTTATAAACTGAAGGAGGAGGCAGGGTAAGATATGAACAACTGTTGGAAGGACAGATGGGCTAGTGAGAGTATAGACAATGCA